GAAGAGTCGATGAAATCGTTGCCAACGCTGTGCTTCCTCTTCAGTCGTTTGGTCTCGATTTTGATTCTCCGGACTTCCCTTTCGTTGTCGTTGAGTATCCAATCCTAACCATTAAAACATTATATACTTTATATGATAATTGTTAGCAATTGATAGATCACTTAAATAGATCCGGTCGTTGAATACCTGTCTCATCCCAATAGCGAAACACTTCTTCAGACGACACGTCCGACAGAATCTTCTTGTAATCAAATCTATTTTGCAGTTATCGTTGAAATAACAGATATATTCCTAAATGTTATGCAATTTATATGTAATTTAAATTACAATTAAATGTTTTTTTTGTGGTAATAATTACTTCGACTTTTGCCGCATTCCTCCTGAAGAAAGCCTTACATGACTCACACGAAACGGCGCCGAAATTCTTGCCTTTAAATTATTAATTGTAAATTAAATTTAAAAAAGTTACTAAAATAGTTATATTTTATTTATCAATGATTAAAATTTAATTCATAATAGAAATGTGTGTGAATTTCATTACCAATTGACTTATCGCCGCAAACCAAACAAACTTTCGGTTTGACTGACATTTCGTTCAGTCAATCACTAAAATATCACTTTAACGGCAGTAATAGTGTATCAATAATTGATTGAATTATTCATTGAATAAATGCACTGAAATTTAGACAAATTATTAATATTTGTACACAAGATATAAAATTTCACTCAATTCTGGTGCAAATTTTACTCAATAATCGCATTAATTGTAATGAAGTGATCGCTAAGGGATACAGATTTGATATTTAATGCACTAATTGTGGCAAATGTTAGTTGAATTGTAAGTGCAAATAGTATTTGCTTTTGGTGTATATTAATTATACATGTATATAGCTGCTATATATTATAGCAGATGTATTTCAACCTAGTTTAAGTACTTTTCATTGATCACGTCAAATTAACCTGCACACATGTAACATTAAACATTGATTTTAATAAATTATTAATAATAATCACGCTTTAATTAGTATGTATAAATAGTTTTCAATTTACAATGTAAATTTTACATACATCAAAAATTGAATGTATTCAACACTTTTATAATTTATATTTGAGTGAATATTTATTTAAATAACACAATGCACTCAAAAACAATTTGAATTATTAGTAAACTACATACAAAATAATATACAAAAATGATGGTAAAAATGTCAAACAAAATTTACAATGTTTTGCGCTGATATTCTCTACGCGCAGGTTTTGTATAATTATATCTAAATTTATATTAAAACGCCTCTTGGTTGAAAAAGTG